GTAAGTCTCCCACACGTTGTAAACCCACCAGGATGGGTCTGCAGTGGTAGCTCCTCTCTGCCAACTCCCCTTGTTCACAGTGCGCTGGAGATTCTGGCTCTACTACTCACACAGTGACCTAAGGCGTTGGCTTCAGAAATCGGGCATAAGGTTATTTTCAGCCACACTACCTTCCTAAAGATCCCTCTGAAATTCCCTTCCGGTGCCACTTTATTTAGAAGAAATGTACATAGGTTATCAACTATTTAGGAGAGAAAGGAAGGGGGAGTTGTCAATATTCTTACTTTTCATATTTGATAACAGAATTTTTCCCTCTACAATTTATATCTCCAACCATCCTCTTAAACCTCAGAGCTTTAGTGCTTTTTTCCTGGATGGAAGCAGTCGTTCTCAGAAAGTTCCAGCATGGCCGTGCCCCACTTGCTCCCTCAAACCCCGGTGGTACCCTTCCATGGGAAAAGTGGGATGTGGCACAACCGGCAATGGGCACCTGTCTTCCAAGCTGGTGGTAGTTCCTATCTTGGGGGTGGGGCAAGGTTAGTCAGCTCACAGCCTGGGGATCATTTGCGCTTGTTGAGTTCAGTGTGGGGTCAGCTGGGCTCAGAATAAGCTTCTCTATCGTGTGTGCTTTTTGTGAAAATATTTTGAAAAATATTCTTCTTCTTTTTTAAAGTTTATTGATTTGCTTTTGAGAGGGAGAGAGCAAGCAGGGGAGGGGCAAAGAGAGAGGGAGAGAGAATCCCAAGCAGGCTTCATACTGTCAGCACAGAACTGGATGCAGGGCTCGAACCCACAAACCGTGAGATCATGACCTGAGCTGAAACCAAGAGTCAGACGCTTAACTGACTGAGCCACCTAGGTGCCCTGAAAAATACTATTCTTCTTCTTCTTTTTTTTTTTTTAACATTTTATTTTATTTTTGTGTGTGTGAGAGAGAGAATACGAGCAGGGAGGGGCAGAGAGAGAGGGAGACACAGAATCTGAAGCACAGAGCCGGACGTGGAGCTTGCACTCACAAACCATGAGATCATGACCTGAGCCGAAGTGGGACACTCAACCAACTCAGCCACCCAGGCACCCCTGAAAAATACTATTCTTAATTAACTTCACAATAGTGAGGACTGTGTTTTGTGTTTAAATACTGGCCGCCACTTATTATACTATTGTGCAGTTTACTGTACTTTCCTACTGGTTGGGCAGGTCTGCCTCCCTGGTCCCCACGACGATGGGCTCTTCCCAGCCCTTCCTCTGGGATGTCTTCCCCTACCTCCTGTGTCCCGGGCACAGTGTGAGGGCTCCAGGACCTTGTGCCTCAGCAGGTGTCACCTTCTGATTGGTGTGGGAAGCTCTTGTTAGGTATTTCAGATCACACGCGAGTCTACCCACCGGGCCCCCCCTTTCCCAAATAACCCATTGTGGTGGGGGAGAACCCCCTGCACAGGAAGCAGCCCTCTCTGTATCACATTGGAGTTTTCCATCTAGAGGCCCCATCTCTAGAATTTCTCATTCCTCGCCTACTTAAGTAGCATGGTTGTACCCGATACTCAAGTGTTATGATGTTAATATCCTTCTTCTCCTGCTCTGCCTTTATCTCATGTTCTACTGGTTTCTCTGGTTCTATGCTTCAACATCTCTTTCCTGGGAGACTTGACATTTCTACAGTGAACCTCTTATTCTTATCCCATCTCACCTTTCCCTTGTTAATTCCCCTGGGTGGTCTACTCTCCCTCCTTTTCCTCCTCTGCTGGCTTGAGACAAACTTGAATCACGGTCCTTTCGTTTCCTCTTAAGAGCAATCTTCTCCCACTTACTATTTCTTGCTGCTGCTCTTGTTTATTGCTTACTGTCATGAAAGTCATCTGTTCCATCCTCCCAACACCCACACCAAGCTGAGATCTATCTTCTATGTTTTCTCCTGGAAGCTTTTCCAGGAAAACTCCCCATTCTCTTACATACCCCCCCTCCCCGAAATTCTTCCCTTCATTCTTTCAGACAAATGAAAATAAATCATTTGTTCCTCTTCCCCTTTCTTTCATATGCCCTTCAGTCAAGCCTGACTCTGCCCACCTCCTTCTAATTTTGTCATGCTCTTGAGCAATTTGCCTAACTGTATGTTAGCTGTAAACAACTGGTCTTATTTATCTTTCATGCTTCTACTTTCTCACTTACATCTAGACCAGTGTTCCCAACGTCACATTGCACCCAAGAGTTTTGAATCACACCTGTGTGTCTTCTACTGTGTCTAAATGGAATTATCTAGCATGTGGTTAACCTCAAATTCCTCTTTGACATAGTTTTTTTTT